GTCCGGGTCCATGTCTGTGGTCCTAGGGTCTGGCAGGAGCTGCCTCAGGGCTCTGAGGACGGGAATCTCTGCCTGTCAGGGACTGGATTTAGGGAGGAAGAGGGGGCCCCCTGAACCTTCTGAGAATGCCCTAGAAGTTACAGCGGAAGGCTTGACTGGGGGCTTCAGGGCTGCAGCTGGGCCCCCTCCGGAGGTGTAGACTTTCCCAAGGGAAGGACGCAGAACCGGTTTGGGGACTTCCCAGTGCTACCTGGGGCCACATTCATCTTGAAGGAAGCCTTTGACAGTCTTCCACACAAAGGACGCAGGGGAGATAGGGAGCGGCAGTGCGTGTTTAAGGGTGTGTGGAGTGTCAGGGCCCCGCCTTGAGGAGGCCCTGCCAGGGGTCCTTGTCCCTGTCGCTCTCCAAACCTCCGTTTCCTTGCATGACTCCCCGAGGCCGCAGGGAAGACACCGGCCGGGGCTGCACCAGCCTGCACGCCCCCCGAGTGTGGGCTCCAGCGCCCGGTACGCGGCGGTCAGCCCCTGGCCCTCTGCACACGCACGTGCTTTCCCAGGTGACAGTAGCCGTGCCCACGGCATCCACACTGGCTAGAAAATGCATCTCTTGCATTTGTCCTGAGAAGCCATCCGTCTTCCTCAAATGTGCCTGCCACCGGGGAAAGCGCCTCCGTTGGGTGGTTTGGTCGGCTTCCTATGCAGCGCCCTCGGGAGGGAGAGAAAGGCTGGCCGGAGAGGTGGGCGTGAGGGGAGAGCGCTGAGGACGCGGAGTCTGGCTGTGGACGGCGGGGCAGCACCCGCTGACCCTTACAGTTCAGTGAGACATCCGCTGGTCCCTGTGATGGGAAAAGGGACAGAGGTGAACTCTTGTTCTCTGAATTGCCACCTGAAAATAATTAAAATCAGGGTTTGGTGATGGAAGACACAAGGATCTGATTCCTGTGAAAACCCCAGGCTCGGGCAGGACGTGCCCTCCAGAGCTCCTGGGAGTCGGCCTGTGGTTTCTCTGGCTGCTTGTCTCACGCCTTGGAGAGTCAGGGCATCTGCTTTGGCGCCGGGGACACCTGAGACCCCAGCTGTGTGCAGGTGCCATGGGAGGGCGGACCTGAGACACCAGCTGGTGGCACTGCCCTTGGGCTGGGTGACCCTGGACAGCTGCCAACCCCACGCCCATCTGCCTCTCAGTCCAGCAGATGGCCGTAATATTCACGCCAGGAGGGCTGTATCCCCTGGATCTAGCATCTTCTTGGCAAGTGGCGATTGGAATTTATTACAACAACCGTGTCCGGCCCCAGGGCTATTGCAGGTGTGTGGGGGGGCACTTAGAGTCCCCCAAATCCGACTGCCATCTGCACGGGGCAGAGCGAGGCCCAGGAAGTGACAAGCTATCCCACAGGGCCTCAGGACTGGGCTGTGTGGGCCTGCCCCCTGCCCACCCTGCAGGAGGGACCCTTGTTTGGAAAGTCCCCTGACCTAGAAAGCTCATGTTCTTCCTCTGGAAGGCTCTTGGGGGTGCACTTGCAGAATTGGGGTACACTAGAGTTGGGGTGCACTGTGCAGTCGAGACCCTGGATTGGGGTGTGCTGTGTGGAATTGGGCTGCATTCTGTGGGGTCAGTGTGTGAGTGCAGAGTCAGAGTGCTGGGCACAGTTGGGGAAGCCCTTGGAAACTGCCCCGGCCTCGGGCCAAGAGCACAGCTGCGGATACAAACAGGATACAGGGTCCGGGCCCCAGCGGGGGACAATGGCCAGGAGAGGAAATGTGTCCAGGCCCTTTTATGGATGTGGAGCCCATCTGGGGCCTCTTTCAGTACAATTTCCAGAAAAACAAAGCCAAGCATCTCATGTTCTGCACACTGTGGGTTCTGGAACACGGGCTGAAGAGTTCGGGGTCCCAGCTCACAGACATGAGACGGAGGCCGAGAGGAGCAGGGGCCTGCAGTGGGTTGGAGAGGGTGGGCTCAGTGCCCGTGCCGGGCTTCTGCCTGCGGACGCCCCCCCACCCCACCCCGAGCTGTGGCACAGCCAGCCCTGGGCTGCAGGGTGGGCGGCAGGGCCGGGGAGGGCGCTGGTGGAGGTGCTGACCTTCGGACGCGTCCCTCTTTCTCCGTTTGCCTGGTAGCTGCATCCCCTGCTGTCGTGGGCCTCGGCCACGGGAGAGGCCCAGACACTCAGCATTTGTAAAATGAACGAACATTCAGGTGTAGCTGTGGTAACGGGCTGCACATGGCCTGCTAGAGACTTCTGCATCTAGTTTAATGCTCGTGAGGACCCAGAGCAAAACCACAGAAGAGCATCTGAGCCCCCTGGGGCTTCTCTGAGAAACCAAAGCACCCAGGGCGTGTGGCCAGCACGGCAGAGCTGACCTGCAAGGTGTGCTGTCCTTGGACGCAGGTGTCCACCTCCCACCCTGTGGGGCAGCCTGAGCTCTGCTCTCTGGTGAGCAGGCCGGAGGAGGCTGTGGGCCCATCTGCGGGCGTCCACAGGTCCCCGGTGCCAGTGCAAAGGGGGGCTGGGGCGCCTGTGTCTGGATGGGGGAGGCAGGCTCGCCCAGGAGAGTGGCCACGGCAGGGGAGCACCCAGCCTACAGAGAAGGTGCAAGGAATCCAACTTCTGAGGTTCAGCGGGTCCTTGCGAGGGGTAGGGCATCACCATTTCCAGGGCTGTGAAGACAGGCACAGGGAGCTGGGCAAGGTTGGAGGCAGAACTGGGGTGGACGGAGGAGGGTGGAGAGATGGAGGGGCAGGTGTCTGCGAGGAAGGGGTGCTAAGGACTCGCACCTGGGAGGAGCTTCAGGACAGGGCACCTGGACCTCGTTTAGGGCCCCCTCTTGCCCCAGAGGTGGGCAGGAGGACGGAGCCTCGAAGGCCTGCAGGTCGCTGAGGCTGCGGGGAGCCACAGCGGGGAGCCACGGCGGGCAGGCAGGTGGGCACCCGCGTTCACTAACTGCCCTGTCCTTGGCCTGCTTCCCACTCCCCTGGGCGTCTAGGAGTTTGGGGCGGGATGGTGGCCCCACAGGTGTATCCAGGGGAACCTCCAGACACGATCTCGTCTGGGAAAAGTGTCTCTGTAGGTATAATTAAGGTAAGGGTCTCGAGATGAGGTGGGCCCCAAATACAATACGAAAGGGAAGAGCCACACAGGGTGGCCAGGTGGTGACGGGAGACAGAGCTGTGTGGCCAGGAGCCCGGGAGCTGGAAGAGATGGGAAGGACCCTCTGGAGCCTCCAGAGGGAGCGCGGCCCTGCCCACACCTTGATTTAGACTTCTGGCCTCCGGACGGGGAGGGAATAGGCCTCGGTCACTTTAAGGCACCCAGTCCACGGAGCTTTGTCCCCGAAGCCCCAGGGCATTGGCACAGTGACCATCACAGCTGTCCCTCCAGAGAGACAGCTACTCCTACCCCACGGAGGGGACAGCCTGGACCTCCCAGTGGGAAGCCGGAGCTGCTGTGGAAGCTGCCTCCCCTCTTGCTCTGCGGCCCCCCAGTCCCCTGGGACCCACCGAGTAGCTTCCAGTTGTCCCCGTTAGTCGGCCTGCGGTCATGGGGACGGTGAAAACGTCCTGCCTGACCCCTGGCTCCGTCTGTGCGGTCTCCGTGCAGTGGGACGTGGCCGGGCCGGGCGTGGTGGGGGCCCGAGTGTCAGGCCTGGCTCTGCTGGTGACCTGCTGGGCCCCCCACCTTCCGAGGTTGGAGGCAGCTCGGCCTGGAGCAGCAGTTCGGCCCGACGTCGCCCCCGGGTGACTCATGTCCGGAGGGGTGTTGGGTGGTCACGGCTGGGGCCGGGGGGGCGGCTGGGGGTACTGGCATCTAGCGGGCCGAGGCCAGGGATGCAGCTGGAATCCCGAGCGTGCATAGCAGCCTTCCCCCGTGACAAAGAGCCGTCGCCCACGTGTCCGTGGTGGTGCTTAGTGCCCTGGCCTGGGGGCCTCAGTGTCTGTCAGACCCAGTTCTGGGCTCTTCTAGTCCTCACTGGCCTCGGGCACGTCCCACGACCTCTCTGACCTCAGTTTCACTGTCTGCAAAACAGTCCCATGACCGCCGAATTAGAGATTTCTCGTGGTGGTAATCCAGGCCTGCCCCACACAGGACGGAGGAGAGGGTCGCTGTCCTCCTGATCCCTGGGCCTGGGCTGGGGCCAGGGACGGGCCGTGCCCCTGCCTCGGGGGGGGGGGGGGGGGGGGGCGTGAGAGCACACGGGAGGGCGGGGCTGCGGGCCGACCCCAGCTCATTTCCTGCTTGTCCCCGCTCCCGGGGAGCCGAGTCCCAGGTGGGTCCCAGAGCCTGTGGGAAGTCAGCGGTGGGGGGACCTGTGGCCCGAGCCCCATCTGTCCCTGGTGGGCCGGCGGGCGGGGGCAGCACCCGGCAAAGGGAAGGGGTGCACACGCGTGCGTGTTGTGTGAGTGCATGTATGTGTGTATCGTGTGTGCAAGATGTGTGTGTGTATCCTGTGTGTGCAAATGTGATGTGTGCATCGTGCGGGTGTGCGTACATGTATGTGTCACGTATGAACATGCGTGTGCACACATGTGCGTGTGTGTCGTGTGCGTGCACCAAGCGGAAGAGGAGCAGAGCGGAGCAGAGGGTGCTGGGGCCGTGGGGCCGGCGGCTGGGGCACTTCCCCAATCCGGGGGGCCTGGGCGGGAGCCTGGGTGTCTCCATCTCGGGCGGGCGCGTCCGGGCCTGGAGCCGGTCCAGGGAGGAGCTAATGACCAGCGCGAGGCGCACTGGGCCTGCCTCTCGCCACCGGGCCGGCCCGCGGCGCAGGGAGGAAGTGTGGCAGGAAGCAGGGGGTGGTGGCGGCCACCGTGCAGTCAGCCGGGCCGTGGGCGGCTGCCGCCTGTCCTGGCCAGCTGAGACGGCCGCAGGGCCAGCCAGCGAGGAGCCGGGAGCGGCCACCTGGGGCCTGTCGTCCTGCTGCCCCCCACGCCCCCGCCCCGTCCTCTGGGCCGGGAGCTGCCTCTGAGGAGCGGGACGCAGGTATGGGGTGCGGCGGGCGGGGGGAGCGCTGGGGCGGGCGGGACAAGGACTGGCCCAGCGGGCATGGTCCACGGAGCCGGGGCCTGCCGCCCACGGTGGGTCTAAGACTAGTCTGTCAACTTTCACTTTCTTGAAGACTCCTCTGGCATCTTGGGACGGTGGGGAGCAGAGCTGAAGTCGGGGGAGTCTGGAAGGCTGTGGGGGCCCGTGAGGAGACCACAGCAGCCGATGAAGCCCCTTGCTTCTGTGATCTTGCTTGACCCCCCTTCCCGTGGGCACTCAGCGAGCGCATGCCAGGGTCTGGATGGGGCGCGGAGCCGAGTCCGAGTCTGGGTGTCAGGGTCTCGAGTGGGCCCCCACACTGGGGGGGATGCCACATCGGACAGACACCACAAGGGACACCACAGGACAGCCCAGGGTGGCTCTGCAGCTCTGACCTGGCCACTCTGAGGTCACCATCTCTGGGCCTCTTTTCTATCCACTGGCTGGGGATGAGCGCTGTGACTAGGGGCACCAACCACACAGTTGTAGGGGAGGACGCGGACCCAGGACGTGTATTGCCAGGTCCGGCGCTGGGCCCGTGCTCCCAGCACACCACTGAGACCCTCTCCCGGCTTCCAGTGACCCCCCCGGGAGCCCCAGCTCCCCTCCAGCTCTGTCTGTGGCAAAGCAACGTTGGTGGCAGTTAGTGGAGCTGGTGGTGCTGGGAGCCGTGGCCAGACTCCTGGTGGGAGGCGGGGTATGTGCCGGTTATGGGCAGGGGCTCCAGTGCTGGGCTCGGCCCCTGTGGGTTCGAATCCCGTCTGTGCCCCCCAGCCGGGCCAAGTCCCCGCGGCAGCTCGCCCAGCTTGTGAAATGGGCACAGTGGCACCCCCTCCCCCGGTCATCAGGAAGATTAGGTGGGCGTGCTTGGTTAGCGCCTCAGGGTGGTGGCTGTTGGGTGGGGTGGTCAACAGTGCTGTTGGTGACAATGACACATCCTGTATGGGGCGCTGTGCACCTGACTCACAGAGTGCCGTGATGGAGGTGAGGTGGACCCCGCCTCCCAGCAGAGGAGGAGAAGGTAGGGGGTTACAGGTGAACCAGTGTCGCTCCGTCTGTGTCGCTCCTCTTATATAAGACACCGTCACTGGATTAAGGCCCCCCATGCAGTATGACCTCATCCTAAGGAGTCAGATCTGCAAAGACTCCATTTCCAAATAAGGCCACCTTCTACAGTGCCAGGATCTGGGGGGACACCATTCACCCCTGTCCAGGGGTGACCAGACAATTCCCCAGAGGTGCTTCTTGGTGAAAGGGACAAGGTCTCCATGGGCCCACAAGGTATTGGTTCTGTACGAGCCCCGTGAGTGCTCCGACCAGACCCCCCCAAACCTGTCCGGGGTTGGGAAGGTACCGCCTCTCCCTCTGTGGACCCACATTTATTAAGCGCCAACTGTGATCGTGGAGCACCATCGGTTTACTCCGTTGACCTCCTTGTGGGGCAGGGGTGTTTGCTCTCACCCTCCAGGAGGGCAGAGTGAGGCGTGGAGAGCTCTCCCAGCCCCCTGGGAGCTGCGTCTACAGCAGGGCCCGGGGCCTGTGAGGCCAAGCGGGGCAGTTACAGGAACCCGCGGGGGGCGGGGAACTCTCCTGCACAGATTGGGCTCACTTCCTCATCTCTGCCTAGGACTAGGAAGCCCCGCGCTGAGATCGTCCCTGGCGGCCCCGCCTGCTCGGGCACATCGTCACTGGGCAGGTGGGAGGGTCTTTGAGCCCAGGAAGCCTTCCCTTTCCTCAGGAAGCTGTCCCTGAGACTGTGGGGAGCAGGCCACGGGGGGGCCCCCCGGATGCAGACAGGGATGGGCCAGTCCCGACCCAGGGGCAGAGGCCGGCAGGATGAGAGGCTGCCACCAGACCCGGCAGGGTCCTGCGAGATGCCCGGCTGCAGGGGCCCCTGCTGCACCCAGGGCTGGGGAGGACGTGCCGGGCGGGGAGGGAGGCTAACACCCCTGCGTGTCAGAAGGGAAGAGGAGAGAGATGGCAGGCTGGCCTGGCAGCCCTTGTGCATCCGGGTCCTGACACCCAGCTGCGGCTACCAGTGGTGCGGGAGCTGCGAGGGTGGGGGTCCCAGGGGTGAAGCCAGGAGGGAAAGCACCATAGGCTTGGGCTCGGTGGGGGGCCGGCCAGGACGGCCCCTCACGGAGCTGTGTCCGGAAAAATGGCGGGGGTCTTCATGCTTTACGAGGATGGAGACGGCACAGGGACCGGGGAACAGGGAGTGTGGGGCCCCCGGGCCTGAATGACATGTGAGCCATTCGACAAGGCTGCGTGGAGAAGGTTCTGGGCATCCTCAGTTTAGCCGTGGCTTCTTCTCTAGAACAGGGAGCAGCCCCCGCCTGCCCCCTCCCCGCCCTCCCTGGGCCAAGCAGCTCTGCCAGAGAGGAGAGGGGCTGCCTGGCCGAGCGGGGGTCCCCTGCGTGCTCCTTGCCTCCTTGCCCCTGCCTCCCAGGCTGTGCCCCTGTCCCTCAGAGGTAGTTCAGGATGGAACTCAGGTCCAGTTGGGAGTGGGGGGGTAGGGGCTCCTGGAGGCATCGCCTCTGCAAGTCTTGCGGGCCTTGGGCTGCTGGGGGCCTGTGGGTCCCTCTGGAGGGGCAGACAGCCCATTTCACCCCTGTTTCTCTGCAGTGAGGGGCTGTTTGGCCCCAAGGCCACAGGAGGGGCACCAGAGTAATTACTGTCAGAAACACGGGGTGCTCTGCTTCTGCGACTCCCAGGGCCACTCCTACCTCTCTTTCTTGTCTTTTTCATTTGGATTGTAGGAGCAGTCCTGGCTTCTAATGGCCTGAAAAGCCGGCCTTGCCAGTCCCCAGCAGCGATGCCTCTGGACATTTAAGGGTCCGAGGGGCAGCGGGCCGGGCAAAGCCCCTGTGGGCCAAGGCTCCCCGGAGTCCCCGTCCAGGGAACCCAGGAGGTGAACTGGCTGCCTGGGCCACGAGCTGAGCGGTGCCCCTGAGACGCCTGCAGGGGTCCGGTGCACAGAGGCTTTGGGGACAGGAGGACACAGGCGGTGTCCAGCTGTCTCGTGTTCTGCCTCCCCCGCCCCACGCCCCATGCTGTTGGCAGTGTGGATGGCCACCCGTCAGCCGCTCTGCAGGTGGTTCCCACCACCCCCAGGGACCTTGCTGACTGCCCAACCCCCTTTCCCTGTCCTCCTGTGCTGCCCGTCACAGAACCCGCCCTCAGACTAGCAGGGGCGTGTGTAGGTGGTTGACAAACACCTGTGTCTGAGGTTCTGGGGACCTGGGTCCATGTCCAGTCCCCTGGGGTTCTGGAGGGAGATGGGCCCAGGGGTTGGTGGGGCCGTCCAGGCTCTGAGCTCCACATAGCTGCCCCTGAACTCTGTCCGCCGCGGGGGCCCTGCCCCAACATCTGCCAGGAAAGGGGGTGGGCCAGGAGGAAGCCTGACTTGCTTCTCGGTTGGCATTGTTGGCCCCGGAGAGCGGGTGAGGAGGGTGCCTGCCTGTCCCTGCGTGCTCTGTGCAGAGGGAATTCCCACCACCTGTCCTGGGTTTGTTTTAAAATCTCAGAGCTCAGCATCAGGGCTCAGGGAGGCCCGAAACGAGGGTGTTCCCTTGTTTGTGCGACCTAGCAGTGCTCTTGGCAACCTTCCGGGCGAGTGAGCAAGGCCATTCCTTGTCTCCTCTGTCCCCGAGGCTGCTCCCATCCCTGTGGCCACAGCGGGGGGTCTGGCCCCGCCTTTCCCAGCCCTGGCCCCCCTCTCGGCCCACCCATCACCCCACGTTCCCATCTGAAAGGGGACTCTGTGTTCTTCTTTGTCCTGATTGGTGACAAAGCCCCAACCCCAGGAGCACGGACCGTCCATCTGTAACGGCCTCTCGTCTCTGACCCCAGGAAGTAGTGAGGCATAATGACTGCTCTTGGGGGGAGGCCCGAGGGCACCCCGGGGTGGGCAGCCATCGCCTGTTCTGCCTCATCTGCCTCACCACTTCCTCCTTCCCCACCGTCCGCCACCTTTCCTCCCTGGGCGGCCTGGACCCTGGCCCACTTCTTGACCTGTGGGGTGGGACGGCGTTTCGGGGGCCCTGCTGGAGCCCAGGCCTCTTCCGGTGGGAGCAACAGATCTCCTGGGAACCTGAGACCGGATCACAGTGGAACTGGTGCTTGTGGGAAACGGAACTAGATGGGTGTCTCCGGGGGGCTCTGTTGTGGCCCTAGCTGGACGGGACGCGTGGTGGGCTTGCTCACATCCAAGGTGCCAGGGTGTCCCCCGAGGACTTCTGCTCTGTTCCCCATGTTTGTCCGGCGTTGGCAGGAACGTTCGAGCAGCCACAACGCGTCAGGCTCTGAGCAGCTTCCTGGGGGTCGTGAGCTGGAGCGGGGTCCCCCCCTGCCCACACGGCTTCCAGCCCGCTCCACCGGGCCCGCGCTGGCCCATGTCTCGGGAAGAGCCTGCGGCGGGGGCTCGTCGTAGTGGGAGAAGCAGCGACAGACTGACTCACAAGCAAAGCTCTGAAGGATGTGCAGAGGCCCGCCTGGCAAACGGGAGGCCGTCTCTCCTCCGACCCCAACCCTGTGGCAGTGTCCTCAGGGCACCTGTGTTCCCGGGGAGGCCTCCCTGCTGACCCGCAGCCTGTCCTCTTCCCCCAGCGGCCCGCGGGTATGCGGAGCCCCCGGTGCTGAGGCCGCCGCCCGGGCATGGAGGGCCCCGCGGAGGAGCCGGCCCCGAAGGGGAGAGGGCCCGCGGCGGCACCCTTGGGAGGCGGCGGTGGTGGTGGCCACACGGCCCAGAGAGTGGCCATGAGCCCATCGGTCGTCTGGGAGCGAGCAGGGCCCGAGGAGGCCGAGGCGCTTGTCGGAGGCGGTGAGTACAGCACGTGCCGTCCACCCCACTGTCCGGCCGCCCACGGCTGTCCCCCGATGAATTTACCGCTCTGTTACAAACCCTCATGCGCCCACAGTCCTGCTATGTCCTCAGGACAGAAAGCCCTGGAATTGCTCAGAAGGGGGCATCCCTCGCTCCCCTGGGAGGGCACCAGTGGCCAGCCAGGACCAGGCCAGGCCGCTTCCTGGTGGGAGGAGGATGAGCCCAGAGCCGTGGGCACATGAGGCCGAGCCCGGAAGCAAGGCTGGGATTCCTGATCATCACTGGCCAATGCTTGACTGGGGCCTCAGTTTCCCCACTTGGAAACCTGAGGGGTGGGCTGGGCGATCTCATGGACCCCCCTCCCTACCTCCTTGGGCCCTGGAGGCGAGGGAAGGAGGGGGGAAGGCCCTCCCTGAGCCCGGGACAGCCTGTGACTCCGGCCTCCCCCCAGACTCCCCTGTCCTCACATGTGCACCCTCCTCCAGGCCACCTGCCTAGCTGCCCGTGGGGTCTGGGGCTTGGCACACAGGACAAGCTCAGTAGATGCTTGAATGATCAGTGAACAACGGATGCACTGGGAGGATGGAAACAAAGCCTCACGAGGTGCATAGTGCGAGCTAGAGGCACTTCGTACCTGTTGCCTCAGGCCTTCTGGGCGTGAGGGAGACAGGAAGGACTGGGGTGGCCCCCGTGGGTGCCGACTCACGACGGGGTGTGGGCCTGCAGTCAGACGCCTGCCTGGCCAGCAGAGGCCTGAGCTGCCACCCAGTTCCAGAGCCTGTCCTCCGCTCCGGCCCCCGGGGGCGCCCCCCCGGCTGGCCCCCTGCACTCTGGAGTGCCTCGCTAATCCTGCCAGGCTGTGAGCCACACCCGAGACACCTCCCAAGGCCGAGAGGGCCCGTGTCCCCCTCGGTGTGTGACGTGCAGAAGGACCAGGACGCAGCCCTGTCTGCCCCAGACCCAGGGTTCCTTCTGGGCCGCCCCCTTCCCTCTGTGGTCAGTAGGACAGTGGCCCCCAAGCAAGGCCACATCCTAGTCCCCAGACGTGTAGCAAAAGTGATTTTGTGGATGGGGTTAAGAATCCTAAAATGGGAAGATAAGCCCAGGGTCAGAATCAGAGACGTTGACAGTGCCTGGCTTCCGGCTTGGAAGATGGAGGAAGATCCACAGGCCAAGGGCGTGGGTGGACGCCTCTGGGAGCTGGGAGACAGACTCTCCCCGCGGAGCCTCCTGGGGGCAGCAACTCTGCTGACCCTTGGTTTTAGCCAGTGAGACCTTTCCAGACTCCAGCCCAGCAACACAAGACACTGGTGGTGTTTTCAGACGCCTCTAAGCTTGGGATAGTCTGTTGGAGCATAGGGAGAACCTCACCCCCCCCATCCTCCTTGGGCTTTTGTGACCTGGAGGCAGGGAATTCGAGGGGTCAGTGGTTTGTATGGGTGTGGGCACACCTCTTTTGTTCCAGAAATATCAGGGGCTTTGTGCCCGCACGGCTGAGAGTTGCCTGTTCTGACCTTGATCCCACAACCTGCTTTATTACAGATGCCAGTCCTCCCCCTGGGGGCTCCGGGCCGGCTGCTGGGACCCCTCCTGGCCAGATGGGCACGTACCCCACAGGTAGACGTCCACGGGTACCCCAATGTGCAGCAGGGTTCAGTATGGGAAGGGCTGTGAATGTGGGGTCCCTGGGTGTGCCCACTTCCCTCCAGCCTCGACTGTACCCTGGACTGTGGGTTCAGAATGCCTGGTCCCCAGACTTCCCTCCCGGGGATCGCTGTGGGGGAGGGGAGGCTGGTAAAGTGCAGATGGCCAGGTCCTGCGCCCAGACTCTGACTCGGCCCCGCTGGGGTGCAGGGCCCAGGACTCTGCCTTTCTGCTTGGGGCCTAAAGGCCTGAGTTGACTGCCCTGGGGGCTGGGCCACATGTGGGGGAAGTGCGACTCTTGGGGAGGGGTCACAGGTGGGATGTGGTAAAACCAGACAACCAGTCCACTGTGTTGTGGAGCCGCAGAGGGACCCTCATCTGGGGAGGGGGCTCCGCGGATCAGCAGGATTTCTGCAGGGCGCAGATGAGGGGAGGCAGCCCTGGGTGGCAGAGGGGAACGGGGCGGTAAGAAGCCCCCGACCCCTGAGACCCCACTCCCGGCCCCCACAGTGGCGGCACAGAAACCCCAGCATTGTTGGTGGTTCACTTTGCCTTGACACCCGCCTGTCCTCCGACGTTCCTTCCGGGGGGCCGGCGCTGCCTGTGGTCATCACGATGACCAGGGGGTGTTGAGCAAACGGCAGATTATTTTGGGTCTGAAAACGCCACCCACCCTCTTATGGGAATAGGAGGTGTCACATCTCAGAACCAGTTGTGAAATGTTGGGCATGCTTCCTGCTAGGGGAGTGAGCCTGATTCCAGATCCCAGTGGTCTCCATACTGCCCTCCCCTGCCTTCCCCTCCCCCGTGCTCCCCTCCCTCCCTCTTTCTCCCCCCCACCTCTTCTCTCTCCCTTCCCCCCTCTCTCTCCTCCTGCTTCCTCCCCCCTTCTCCCGTACCCCCTCCACCCCTTCAGAGCAGCTCATGCTTTGGGGCTCTCAGCACAGTTGGGAGGCCTCTTCAGGGGGCAGGGGTGGGGGCAGGTGGGGGCATTTGAGCAGAGATGTGAATTTTAGGGCAGCCTGTCAGGCCAGGATTTGGTCTGGGAGAGACTGCTCCAGGTGGAGGATGTAGTGAGTGCAAAGGCCCTGGGGCAGGATGTGTGGGGGTGCTTTGATCTCCTAGGGCAGCAGAGAGGCCCCAGGCTAGAGGGGAGGGAGAGAAGAGGTGATGGGGGGAGCAGAGCCAGAGGCTCGAGGCTGTGCTGGTGGGAAGGTGGAAAGGGCTTGTGTCTCAGTCTCCCTGAGAAGGAAAAGCCTGCAGCCAACCTATCCAGTATAGGAGCCACACGATTTTTGTTTCTGTTTAACTGAATTAAAATGAAAAATCTGGTTGCCACAGTTGCACGGGCCGTATTTCCAGAACTCAAAGGCTCCACATGGCTGGAGGCGGCCTGGGAGGGTTGAGAGCAGGGGCGTGCAGCTCACTGTAAGCAGACCTCTGGCTGTCTGAGGACCGGAGGACTGCGTGGAGTTGGCGGGTGGGGCCTGGACAACTGCCCAGGGCAGACCTAGGGGACCCGGGCCACGGGGAAGGGGGCCACGGAGGGTTTGGCCTGGTTTTGCAGTTCACCGGTGGACCCGGGTGCTGTGTGGTGCAGGGAAGTGTCCTTGGTCTAAGCTGGGTGGGGGCTGGGAACCCTTTTGGAAATGGGAATGAGGGGGAGGGGGAGGGGTCAGTTTAGGAGAGAGGATGATAAGTCCTGGGACGCCTGTGGGTGATTTGCTGGAGCTTGAATGCCCCTGTCTGGAGCGGTGGGAGAGGTCGGGGCCAGAGGTCACAGTGACTCTGGTGACTTCGCTGAGTGCTGGCTCCCGCTGCCCCTCCCAGACCTGACCTTGCAGCTGCTGGCCGTGCGGAGGAAGACGGGGCTGCCAGACCCCAGCCTGCAGCAGACCGTGAGGAGCCGGCTCCGCCTGTTGGAAAATGACAGCCGGGAGGTGGCCCGTGCGCTGGGGGTGAGCCTGGCTTCTCCGGGGGGCCCGGGGAGGCACAGGAGCTCCAAGCCTGAGAACGGACAGGGGACAGGGGTAGACCTAGCAGGAGGGCCTTTGATGCCCAGGCCTCTGTCCCTGAGGGGCCAAGGCCACAGGTGGTGGCACCGTGACTTGTCCCTGGCTGTTCTCCTGGATGTCTGGGTCAGGGGGCCACCGATCACACCCGCAGTTCTAGCCACACGTGGCCCACGGTGCTCCCAGGTCCCCTCCCACTCTCTGTGCCCCCCACCCTGCTGATACTCTTAAAGTCCCTGTCATGGGGAGCAAGAAGGACTGGTGTGTGCTGATCTTACTCTGATGATGGAGCCAGGCCCCTGTTGGCCTCTGCACAGTGGACGCTCTGGCAGGACGGTGGCCGAGGAGTGGGCTGGGCAGGGCGACCTCTCCATGACAGAGGTCCTGGGGCTTAGGGCTGGGCAGCCACCAGGTGACCTTGCAGCCAGCCCGCCTGACCTTGGCCTCTGTGAACCCAGCTCCCTCGGCCACCTGTCAGGGATGCTTATACTTGTTACCCCACGGAGCCGAGGTGCGGATCCTGCAAACGGCACGGGAGTACCAGCCCTGCGTGGTGTCGGGCAAGGGGCTGGACCTCGGCGTGCCATGTGCTGAGGGTCAGACCTTGGACAAGAAACGCGGCCTGTTTTCAGTCTGTCAAGCGGAGCGCAGAGCAGCACCCCCTTCCCCAGCGCACACACCCTGTGCCTTATAAGTGCTGGGGTGACGCTCCTGCCCGGTCACCACCCGGGGTGTTCATGGGATGGGAGTCAGAGGAGAGGGGGTGCCGGAGTGAGGACGCATCCCCCCGTCGGTGCTGCCGGAAGGGCTGGGAGGCAAGGCTGGGATGCACAGGGCTGAGAGCCCAGCCTGCGGGGAGAATCTGCTGTCGCGGAGGGCGGGGGCCGGAGCACGGAGCCCGCAGGGGCTCTGGGAAGGAGCAGGGCTTGGCACAGGTACTGGGGAGCCACGGCTGGCTTGAGAGCCCCAGCCTCGGGCCGTAGAGGAACCAGCTCCGTGCTTCCCCACCTGCCTGGGTCACTTGAGCAAAACGCTTTTGTTGTGCGGCTCTGTCCTCCTGGCGGTCAGATGCCTGAAAGCCCCCCACCTGGGACTGTTTCTTCCCCATAGGAGCTGTCAGCCAGGCTGTTGTCCATCCACAGTGACCAGGATCGGATCGTGGTGACCTTTAAGACTTTCGAGGAAATCTGGAAGTTCTCCACCTACCATGCTCTTGGTAAAGTGGGGGTCCCTCCCAGAGCTGGCTGTGGGGACTCCCCTTAGAGGACACTTGTCACACACTGCTGAGCACTTGATGTCATAAATCGGGCTTCAGCCCGGTGCCGCTCACAAGGGCCGGGGCAGCGGGCTGCGGGAGTTAGTGCTCACCCGCTCTTGCGGAGAGATGGCGCGACAGGCGGGGCGCAGAGGCATCCCTCCCCGCGCTGCGCTGTGTGCGGAGCTTTGTGCGGCCAGACCCCGAGGGAGGCTGAGCTCAGACCCGCTGAGCACAGACCGGGTTATTTCCAGCCCGGACAGAGAGCTTGCTTTCTAAAGGACCCTCATCCGTTCGGAGGCGTCTGTGGGCCCGGCTGCGTCTCTGGGGAACCGTGCTCCGCCACCTTGGTCTGAGCCTGAGAGCGTGGAAAATAAGAGTGACAGCATCTTGTGCCAACTCCCGAGTGCACGCGCTCTCCCTGAAGGCTCTGGTCCCGTCTCACGGATGAGGAGACTGAGGGTCACTCGAGTGACTTGTCCTCGTCTAAACTCGCCAGGGCACAGGGAAGTCCAGGGTGTCACCCACAGTCATGGCCGGTCCACTCTCAGCCCAGATGGTCAGACCTGGGGCCTGTCTGGGTTGTAGATGGTGGCGCAAGTCCCTGAAGCAGGACGGGGATCCCCCAGCACCGGGGCCCTGAAGGCTTCCCTGCCTCCCTTTGGAGCCTGCTGGTGACCCAGCCTGTCTGGCCCCCAGGCTTCACTCATCACTGCCTGGAAAACCTACTCGTGGACCAGGCCTTCTGGCTGCTCTCACCCAACGAGGACGAGGAGACAGCTGTCCAAGTCCATGTGGACCAGGAGGCCTTGAGGCTGACGCACGAGAGCCTCCTCGCCCAGGAAGGTGAGCACCACGTGGTGACGGTGACAAGGGCCGGCCCCACACTGTGCTTGGGACGCCCGGGGGAGGGGGGCCTGGAGGCTCTGGCGTGCACGCGGAGACTTGACGGGGCCTCACGCAGGGGTACATGGGGGGACCCTGGCCGTGAAATGCCCGGGCCCTGTCACTTTGCCGTAAAGACCTGGTCAGGCCCCCCAAAAATAATAGTGAAAGTGTTTCTGCAAGCAGCACCCCCACCCCAAGGTCCTGACCCAATACTGCTTTGAGTGCCGTGGTGGCCTCATCATGGGGTGCAAGCCAGCAGCAAACGGAACCCAAAGCTGCCTGTCTTACCCTGGCCTCAGAGAAGAAGAGAGGGGGCCGGGCTCCCAGGGGTGGTCCCAGCAGACAGGCCCCCTGGGATCACGGGTCGGGCCCCTCAGGGAAACTGAGGCCCTGAGGGTCTGAGGCTGGGTGAGGTCTGAGCAGAGCCTGGGGCCGGGGAGACCCTGCAGGGCTCCCTTCACACGTGTCACCTGGCAGGACAGGTGGGTCCCACCTGGCAGGGCGTCCAGCCACCCTGAAGGACACCGTCTGTCACTTTGAAGGTCCTGTCTTCGTCCTGTGTCCTGACCACCGTGTGCGAGTGAAGACCAGCCCCCGGGGTGCAGGGAGCGGCCCCCGGGCCCTCAGGCGAGCCTCGGGGGTTCCCCAGGGAGAGGCAGCCCCAGCAGTGGACCCTTGTGCTCCCAGCCCCGGCACGTCCTCCGAGGAGGTGGCAGCGACGGCCACTCCAGAAACTTTGATTCCATTTCATCAGTAGGTACCGAACTTTGTTTCTGTGCTTCCAGCCCGTCCCGCGCGTTGTCGGGCCTCATGGAGAACCCCCCAGGCCCCGGCCCATCCGCAGGGCAGAGGAGGTGGACAGGGGCCCCCAACAGACCCTCGCGGGTCCCTCTTCCACTGCTTCCGGTGTGTGGCCGTGGGCTGCCACCTGCATGAGGACACTGACATTCCCCAGTGGGGCTGCCCGGGCAGGAGGGTGCAGCCCAGAACTCTTGCTTCATGTTCTAGCTCGTTGTTGTTATTTTTTTAAGTAGTTGGCTCCATGCCCAGTGTGGAGCCACACATGGGGCTTGAACTCACGACCCTGAGATCAAGCCCTGAGCTGAGATCAAGAGTCTGACGCTTAACCCTTCCGAGCCCCCCAGGCGCCCCTACTCTGGCTTGTTCTGGAAAGCTTTTGAGGGAGCTAGCTGCCAAATGTGTACCCATAGTAAGGAGGCACAAGGCAGATAAAGCCTGGGGAGGGCGAGGATGGGTCGCATGTTAAGTTCCTGCTCACGTGCTGAATGTGGGGCGTTAACTGGGCTTGGAGCTTCCTGGCAGCCAAAGCAAAGAGAGAAACTCAATGACCTGATGTTCGGAAGCTGTGAACTAACAGGCAGTGGCTCAGCTTCTGTCCTGGGTGAATGGAGGGAGGTCTCCCAGAATGCCAGCCTGAGGCAGGGCAGGAGGCACCTGGGCTGGGCAGCACGGGGCTCCCTGCAGGCCGTGCCACACACCTGGGCCTAAAGGCCACACATGTCTGTGTGTGTGTGTGTGTGTGTGTGTGTGTAGTCGGGCAAGTGCTGGAGTTCTCTTGGGTCCCTGGGGGCTGCTGACTTGCCCAGTTGACTCAGTTTGAACTTGCCACACACCTGAAATCCTCTCTCGTCCCACTCCAGATGGGCTCTTAGGGTCCCCTGGGACCCCATCGACGACTCCATGAATGGACCTGTGACATCGGACATCCCACTGATGGGTAAATGCTTCCACTGACCTTCCTCCCCTGGGAAAGGGATTGGCAAAGCGGGGCAGGCACCAGCATTCTGGAAGCTTCTGTGCTCACCATGAATCCTCCCCAAGCCGGAGGAGGTAGCTAGAATCCTCTCCAGTTCATGTTGTGACAACTCAGGCTCAGAGACGTCCCACAGGCTGGTCCAGATTCATTTCACACGGTACGGCAAGGCCGGGCCGGGTCCCTGTCACTGTCTCTAGGAAAGCCCGAGTGTCACCTCACAGGCCATCCATCAGGCATGGCTTTCTCTCTGGCTTGCACATTCAACATGCCGGAGGGCCCTTGCATGGGTGGGCTAGGCTCCGGCTGAATTTGCACTAATGGAGGCTCTTGAGGCTTAGTTCTTAGGGCTTCTCTTGAAAAGACAGCGTGGGCCTTCGGCTTGGGCTCCTGGTCCAGTACTCCCTGCCCTGCTCCAAGCCGGCTGGTGCAGGGATGGCCTTGTGTACCTGCTCAGTGAACGTAAGGCCCCATGGTAGAGAGACCTATGTTTACAGCTGCATCTGCCCTGGATGGGCCCCAGCCTGGCCTTGCTGGTGTGGGACAGAGGAGAAGTCCCTGGCCTTGGAGGTGGACAGCCCTGGGCCTCAGTTTCTCCTCCTCAGTGTGGGGATCAAGCGCCCCCTCCAAGAACCACTAGAGGCCCAGCCCCTTGGGTGCAGTGGCCACGCCTCATTGCAACCCCGACCACTCATTCCCGGCAGAGGGCCCCTCTGAGTCTGCCCCCAGTGCTGACCGTGTGACCCCCCTCCTGCAGCCACGGGCCTGGCCACGGCGGTGGCAGACTACCAGGGCTCCGGGCCTGAAGAGATGACCTTCCGAGGCGGTGACATCATCGAGGTCCTGGGCGCCCAGGTGCCCGGCCTGCCCTGGTGCCTGGGCCGGCACACGGCCTCGGGCCAGGTCGGGTTTGTGCAGACGAGTCTCGTCAGTGTGCAGGGCCAAGTGTCTGAGTGAGTGGCTGAGGCCCTGTCCCCTCCCGAGCCCGTACTTCCACCCCTGTGGGGAGCCTGCCACCCTCGCCCTTGGCTGACGCCCAGGTGACAAACCTGGACGTGGTCCTGGACGGCGCTCCCTTCCCTGTCCCTCCCCCTGGCCACTGTCCAGGCCCGGTTCCCTTGTCCCCGGGGCTGGTTCAGCTTCCTGTCTGGACCCCCATGTCCTTCACCACGTGCAGCCGGGCAGGGGCTCTTCCCCAAACTCCAGCGTGGTCTGGGGGCTGCCTAGTGACAAAGCACCACCTGCCAGGGGCTGAGAACAGCAGAGGGCAATTCTGTCCCAGTTCTCGAGGCCACAAGTCCCAAATCAGGGGTCATGGAGCCACGCTTTCCCTGGAGGCGCCAGGGGAGGATCGTGACTAGTTTCATCCAGCTCCTGGCGGCCACAACGTTCCTGGGCTTGGGGCCGCATCACCCCAATCTGTGCTCTGTCCTCATGTGCCCCCCTTCCGCCCCCATGGGTCTGTGCATCCCTCTTACTAGAAGGACACCTGCTTTTGGATCAGGGCCCCCCTACTCCAGTGTGACCTCGTCCTAACTAATTACACCTGCAAAAACCCTTTATTGAATATGGTCACCTTCTGAGGTTCTAGGTGGACATGAATGAATTTTGAGGGACACTGTTCATCCTTGTGCACTATGCCACTCCCTTTCACAAAGCCCTTCGCGGACCCTGGGCCTGTCCTTCAAGGCCCCCTGTGACCCAGACCCTGGCGACCACCCGTGTCAAAGGCTGCCATTGCCGTCAGAGCACTTTGAGTCCAGCTGTGCAGGTCTGTCCACCTTCGAGAACGACTGTGTGGACATGTGCGCCCCTGAGTGAGTCCAAGTCCCCTCTCCAGTGGCTCATCCTTGGGGACGTGCTCCTCTCCCTCTGGGACCCCCCACACCTGCTGATGACGTGCCCACCCCATGGGGGGAATTCTGAGCGTCCCCACTGTGTGGCCCCGGGCAGCAGCATGGCGTCCTGGGAGAGCGGTCTGCGAGCACAGCTATGCCCATCATTTGGGGCCTTTCTGTTCCTCTGGCCTTGAGCTTCCGTTGCGAAGACCTCAGTCGGGGAGCCCAGAGAAGGTGGGTGTATGGAAAGGCCTTCACTGGGTCTGTCCCCGGGCCCCTGGGCCTGGCCTCCCGCACACGTCTGCAGGGGATCCTCTGGCCTCAACATCCGGGGTCGTTCACAGACCAGCGCCTCCCAGACCAAATCTCGAAGGCCGCTTTGGCTTGGCGAACTTAAAAGTGTCTGTTGCGCCTGCTCGTCAGGAGCGGCTCGAAGCTGGCTGGCCTGGAGCTGAGAGCCGCGGCTGGGTCGGCGTTTCCCAAAGCGCGTTCCTCCCAGCGTTCCGTCACCAACTCGGCAGAGCCCCCGCGAGGTGGGGACGCCCCCGCGTGCCTGGCTGGCGGTCCGCACTAGGAAGGCGCTGCGAGGTCTGACCTTTCCCTGTTGGAATGTGTTTGTGCACTGACTTCACCTTCAGGACCCTCTCTCACAGCCCCAGCGGCTGGAGTTCCGTGGAACGCTGTCTGGGGACCCTCGGTCTAGACAATTCCTGTCTCGTCCAGGGGAGGCCGCATCTCTGCGCAGGCGGCTGGGCTTGCCTGAGCTGGGACGGCTGTTGGAGGAGCTCTTGCCAGTGTCCCAGGCATGCCCTCCCAACCCAGAGAACGTTCCGGACCACGTGGCACTGCCTCGCCTCCTGAGTCCGAGACAGTTCCTTCATCTCCTTGACCTTTGGGATGCCGTGTCCCTGAGGAATACAGGCCTGTTGTTCTGTCGGATGCTCCAGATGTCACGCTGAGATTTTCTTCAATGTCTCCAAATAGCTCCTTCCAGTTTCCAAGTGCTTTTCAGAGTTTCCTATTAATGCTGCTAATTCAGTCCTACAGGCGCAAATCGCCTGTTCCTTCTCTCCCTGCTCTGCTTCCTGTTTTCCATCTCCCTGACCTGGCGCAGACTCACACCCGGTGTTTGTGTGGGGCGCTGTGGGGAGCACTTGCAGGGGCCATACGCGGAGCCGTGGGAGCTCAGGACCGAAGGGACTGATGTCTGCCTGGAGCTTCACCACCTGCTTCGCAGGGGAAAGGGCATTTGAAGTGGGACTTTGCAGGCTGCCTAGGAGCTCACCTTCCCTGGCTGCCATGACCTCCTGGGTCCGTAGCCACCTCTCCTGCTCCTGGACGTCTGCCTCCAGCAGGATGAGGCAGCCTGGAGGGCAGATTTTTTTTGTTTCTGTCCCGTGGCTTCATCACGGGGCACAGAGCAGGTGTGAGGGGCCTGTCACTCAAATGAGAGAGTAGAAATGGGTCTTACTTAGGAAACGTGCTGTCTTAAATAAAGCACCTTTTTTTTTCCCCCAGGCTGGAAAATGTGATTTTTCTCAATGAAGAAGAAAGGTCATTCTTCAGCAATGAAGGGCGCTTTTCGGAGGAGGACGCCAGGCAGCTACTGAGGAGGGTGTCTGGTGCAGACGTCTGCACGGTGTACAGCTTGGGTAGGTGTGGGGGTGCGGGCGCTGGGGCACTGCTCCTCCCGCGCCTCCCCCTGGCTGCAGGGACGCCACAGGACCTGCAGCTGGCCGCCCCCTCCAGCCGGGTGCTCCGGACGGGCTCTAGGGGCAGATTCGCAGAGGGACGGGAGGGTTTGGAAGCAGACCGCTTTCCCGCGGGGCCGCACAGGCTGCTGGCCGCCAGCCCCGGGCCAGGACGTGCTACCGTCCCCTCGGTGGAGCGTGACTGTTTGGCTTCCGTGCACTGCTCGCGGCAACCCCTGCCCCCCACCCCCCTTCCGGGAGGCCCGGCTTCCTGCGCCAACCCCCGGGCACTTAAAAGTGACCAGCAGATGGTGCTACTCCTCTGGGAGGTCTAGGGGCAGCGGGCCAGATGCAGAGGGGGGCACAGAGAAAGGGGCAGGGAGATGCCCCCAAGGGGCCCCGAAGCTCCCTGCTGCCCGGGGAGCGCTGGCCTAAGAGCCACAGTCCCCCGGGGCGGGGGCGGGGGCGGGGTGGCACACAGACCTGGGGCTGGCCCGCTGCCCACGTGCCGCCTCTCCCACCGTGTGTGTGGGAGCGACCGTTCTCCCTTCGCCGCGTTGAGGGGCCTGGGCTCGTGCGGCTGTGGTCTGGCCAGGTTGCCTGATAGCTGGGGGGCCGGGGCTGGACCCCAGGGCTGCCACCCCCTAAAGACAATGCTGCTTTTGCCCCGCCACCCTGTCCTCGGAAGGCAGGGCCACGGGTGAGGTGGGGAGTGCGTGAGCAGCAACAGAGGGAATGGTGCCGAGCGAACTTGCTGGTCGACGGCCGTGGGCGCAACGTGCTAGCTGGTTCCTTCATCCCACGGGTGGAGGGGCATACAAGTGTGTACACACACACACACACACACACCCTTACACATACGTGCACACAATGCACGCACACACCACACATGACACACGTGTGCACGTACACAGGCACACACATCATGTGCACACACCAACACACCACACAGGACACACATGCACACATACACATGGACACACCTACACATCACACGTGCACACACACGCACACACACATCACATGTGCACACACCTACACATCACACGTGCGCACACACATGCACACACCTACACATCACACGACACACATATGCACACACCTACACATCACACGTGCACACACATGCACACACCTACACATCACAGGACACACATATGCACATACCTACACATCACACGTGCACACACATGCACACACCTACACATCACAGGACACACATATGCACATACCTACACATCACACGACACACATATGCACATACCTACACATCACACGTGCACATCTACACATCATGCATGCACACACACACCTACACATCACATGACACACACATGCACATACCTACACATCACACGACACACACATGCACACACGCATCACATGTGCACACACCTACACATCATGCATGCACACACATGCACACACCTACACATCACACATGCGCGCGCGCACACGCACATACACACATTGCTCGCGGTCTACGTGCTGACACACACTGCGGGAGCTTCTCCACCAACGGCAGAGGTAAACTTTCTAGGTTCCCACAGATTGGTTTCTCTAAACAGGCAAACTTAGATTTCAGCTGAGCGTATAAGGCTTAAGCCAGCCTGGCATGCGATGTCTTCTGTTTTAGGAAGGCTGTCGGCACCCCTCAGTGCAGGGGGGGCGTTCTGGGGGTCCTCTTCCTCCAGGGGCCACAGAGCTTCCTGCGAGCCTGCACGTTTGTCGTAGCTGACTTCACACCTCATACGACTTTTCCCAGCCAGCTGCTAGCGTCGGCCCATTTTCAGGAGGTGGAAAGCGAGGCTTAGGGAGGGCTGGCCCTGGCGAGAGGAGGGTGGGGGCGCAGTGGAGCTCCCCACTGTTCCCGGGGACAGCCCGTGAGGCCGAGGGCTGCCCATGGTGGGCAGCGCACCCCAGTTCCCAGAGCAGTGGCTGCAGAAGCACGTGGCCTCTGGAGAGGGTGGGGTGGGGCAGAGCCTGCAAGATGGGGGTTCTCAGCCCCTCGACCGACCGGGGGATCCCCTAGCTCCACAGCCCCTCAGGCTGCCCGAGTGTTCCTGTCCTGGTGTCACCACCCCTTGCCGACATGGCCCCTCCCAGAGGTGCTGGCCGAGGGTGACACTTCTCTTCTCCCCCATTTCAGACAGATTAGAAGAAGCCGAGTTTGACCAGCTGGAAGAACAAGGTAGGTTCTTTCCACAGGGCAGAGTTCCTATGGGGACGGGCGGGGCCTTGGGGGATGATGCCAGGCAGAGGCTGCAGGGCTGGGTACAGATGGGGTGCTGGGCCAGGACCTCACACCTTCATGGGGGAGGGCGGGCAGGTGGGGCGTCCGGCCCTGCAGGGGAGGTGGATGAGGTAAAGGTGAAGCCCCCCGCTGCTGTGGTAGTTGGTCCCCTGTGAACACGCCAGCCCTCCAGCTAAGGTGGGGGCGTCCTCTCCATTGCCTGAGCCCATGCCCAACCATGGTTCCTTTCTTGAAACCTAGACCAGCTGAAATTCTCTGCTTTGAGAAGGTGAAGGGGGTATAGGGCCTGTATTTGGAGCTTCGTGCTGCAGAAATCCCTCTAGGATCCGCCTCTTCTTCCCCCTGGGAGCTGGTTAAGGGAGACTCCCTCCTCCTTCCACACCACCATCTCGTCCCCCCACAGAGGGTCTGCATCGGGGAGATCCTGGGGACTTGAATGCCCAAGGTCCCATTGGGGTTCCTTGGGAATGGGGTCCACCTAGACGCAAACAGGGAAGGGCCACTTTGGGTATTGGAGAAGGAAGGTTCTGGATATTCCAGGGCTACTCCCGGGCCCTCCCTGCAGCCCGGGGCTTGCTGAGTGAGGGGAGGCAGGACCTGCCAGCGTTGGAGGGGGTGGGGGCACATTCACACCCACACATCAGGTAGTCAGGTCAGACATTTGCCCCTGAACCACACTGAATTCTTTTTTATTCCTAGCCTTTATAGACTAATAAAGAGAGTTAGTTCTGAACATATTTTTTGCATGTGAACTCAAAACACAAGAGTCTTTAGATGCTGGTTCTTTCCTTCCAAACACATTCCTCTTTAAGCTCATGTTTTCCCAACAGGAAGCTCAGCCCTGGATGTGTCTTCGGGCTCTGGCTCCGTCCAAAGCCAACAGTCCGGTGGGCGGGCGCTTTGGGCAGCGGGCGTCCCCAGATTCTCCAGCACCTTGTCCCTTTAGTAGCTGTGGACCTCGGATTCTCAAACCAGCCAGGGGGAAGGTGGAGACCCGCGGGTCTGGGAGCCATTCCTCATCTTTCCTACCAGACATGGCCCCAGACCAGAGCTGGACAGAGGGACACAGACATCGCTGTCCTCCAGCGGTGTGGGTTTCGTCCGTTCTGTGGGTGGCTTGTGAGCACCTGCTGACCCATAGCTCTGATTGGCTCATAATGATTTTTCACGGGGGTCCTGCACCTGACAGGAGACCCCCAAGCACTGGGAAATCCCACGGAGGCGGTTGTAGCCAGGAACATGGACGCGTCTGTCCGTTAAGTGGCTTTAATTCTTTCTGGAGGGGAAAGGACTCCGAGTGATCGCAGAGCGGTGCTTTCAAACGGGAAGCATAGGAAGGGGTTACCGGGTGAAAAGCTTGGCCAAACCGATCCTTATTCTTGTAACCATGTTTGAGCTCCCCCTGAGTGCTGGGTGCTGGGCTCTGGGCTCGGCATTTCACGTGAATTTTGGTGCTCAGGTAGGGGAGGCTCAGGCCCTCATGACAGGGACACTGAGGCTCGGAGGGATGTCCCTACCCCAGTCTGGACCCCGATCAGACTCTAATCCATCCGGGGGGGGTTGGTGCTTTGCAGAAATGCCTCAGCCTTGCCTGCACCCAGAGCCACGTGAGACCCTCCAGAAGGTGAAGAATGTTCTAGAACAATGCAAGTCCGGCGGGGGCTGCCCCGAGGAGCCCGTGTCCTGGGGTCTGTGCACGGCGTCCAGTGGTGTAAGCTCACAGGACAGCGAGGAGCCCTCCTTCTGCTTGGACGCGGGGGCCGACTGGGCCCACCCGGAGGCGCTGGGCTCGCTGCTGCTGTTCCTGGACGTGCCTGGGTACAAGGCCTGCTTCCGTGGCCTGTACGACCTCTCCCTGCCGGGGCTGAGCACCCTGTTCTGTGGCTTCAGCGACGAGAAGGAGCTGGCCGGGCACCTGGCACAGGCCCGGGCGGCGGCCAAGAAGGCCGGCTTCCCCATGGCCCTCGCCAGGCTCTGCTTCCTCCTGGGGCGGCTGTGTGTGCGCAGGCTCAAGCTGTCCCAGGCCCGCGTGTACTTCGAGGAGGCCCTGGGGGCGCTGGGGGGCCGCTTTGGCGACCTCTTCCTGGTGGTGGCCGTGTACGCCAACCTGGCCACCATCCACCTGAAGCAGAAGAACAGGGACAGGTGTGCGCAGGTGCTGCCCAAAGCCTCGGCCCTGCTCCTGGGGACGCCCGGCCACGTCTGCAGCACCGAGGCCGAGTCGGAGCTCCTGAGGCACGCCCTGCGCCGGGCCATCCTCTGCCGGAGCCCCCAGGCCGAGGCCCGGGCCTGCTTCCTGCTGGCCAGGCACCACGCCCGCCTCAAGCAGCCCGAGGGGGCGCTGCCCTTCCTGGAGAGGCTGCTGTTGCTGCACGTGGCCTCGGGCTCCCCGGAGGCCTGCTGGCCCGCGGACGGCTACCTGCTCCTGGCCGACATCTACAGCCGCCAGTGCCTGCCACACCTGGTGCTCGGCTGCGTCAGGGCGGCCTCGCTGCGGGCGCGCGGCTCGCCGGGCGGCTCGCTCCGGAGCGCGGACCTGGTCCTCCGGAACTCGCCCCGGCGCCACCGGCCGCCCTCCCAGACAGCGCACTACCTCCGGCGGGCACTGGCCTCGGCGGCCTCGGGCCCCCTGCGCGGCCCCCTCTGCGCCAGCCTGGCCCGGCTGCACAGCCACCACGGGCAGCAGGCCAGGGCCATCTCCTGCATGACGCAGGCCGTGGACGCGGCCGCGGGCGCCGGCGGCCGCCTGGCCGTGGACTACGTGGTGGCGCTGGCCTGGTTGTACGTGCTCCACGGGCAGAGCGCGGTGGCCCTGGACATCCTCGAGTCCGTCCTGGACGTGGCGGTGGCCAGCGTGGACCAGGAGGGCGTGATCGCCAACGTGGCGGCCGTGGCCCTGAGGAGGACCGGCAGGACCCGGCAGGCGGCCGAGGGCTACTACCGCGCCCTGCGAGTGGCCCGGAACCAGGGCCAGCTGCGGAACCAAGCGGTGGTCCTGGCCAATTTCGGGGCCCTGTGCCTGCAGGCCGGCGCGGTGGGCCTGGCCCAGCACTACCACCTGGAGGCCGTGAAGCTCTTCTCGCGGCTGCCCGGCAGGGAGCGCGGCCAGGACTTCACCTGGGTGCTCTTGAGGCTGGGCCACCTGTACACCCGCAGGGCCCTCGCCCGAGAGGGCAAGTGCTACTACGAGTGGGCCTTTCTGGTCGCCGTGGAGACGGACCACTTGGAGGGTAAGCGTCAGCCGCGCCCGGTTCCTGGCCCCACTCTTCCCCGGGTCGGGGTCCACGCGCCGGCTTCCTGGGAGATAACGTGTTTTCTTTCCATGTCTGCCCAGAGCACGCCCGGGGTTTGCGACCCGGAGGCAAGCGGTGGTTTTCCCAGCATCCAGAGTGTTGAGCGGTGGAAACCTGCAGATACTTGCAGGTGCCTTTGAGGCTGGCTGGGGGGCGGCTCTCAGAGCACGCCAGGCTCTGTGCAGGCTCCGCTGGTGGCCAAATGTGGGAAACTGATGCCCAGGTCACAGGAGGCACAAAAGGGGGTGCTCCTCGTGATGATGGGAGGCTCCTGGCCCCGACTCATGGGACCTCAGGGTTGAGGAGGGTTTAGCCAAGCATGGGATGGAGGGCAGGCAGAAGGTGCAGCCCATGCAAAGGCTCTGGGGTGAGAGGCTGGGCCATGCAGGGAGATGCAGAGTTTGGGATGGGTGCATTGGGTGGTGGGTGGTGAAAACCCAAGCAGGGGCCAGGGAATCCAGACTGTGGGCTGGCATTTTCCCCGAGAGCACTGGGGAGCCACTGAGGGATATAGGACACTCACTGAGCCTGGAAGGGGAACTTCTGGACCCCTAGGAGGACCCAAGAGCTGGGTCCCTACACGTGCCCTGCAGCCTCGGGCAGGTCCTGGCTGCGCTCACAAGGCCCGCTGTCCCCCTCCCCCCGTGCTAAACCTCAAGGACGCTGAGGGTCGCTCCATCCTCTCTGAGCTGGTTTTGGTAGCTTGTGTCTCCCTAGGTTTGTCCGTTTTATTGAGGTTGACCTTTGTCAGCATAAATCGTTCATCCTCTTCTGTGCCTTTCGTTTCTGTCAGATTGGTGCTAATGCCCCCTCATTCACTGCAGATTCTGACAACTTTACAGCTTTTCTTCTGGTCTGGCTAAAGATGAGTCCGTTTTGCTCATCTTCCCGAAGATCCATCATTCAGTTTCATTCATTTTCTCTCTCGGTTTTTCTCTTCTCGATGTTACTATTTTATCTCTGCTCTTGAACCTTTGTTCCTTCCTTTTGCTTGCTCTGGGTCTAGTTACCTCCTCTTTTTGGTGGAAGTTTAAATTTTTTATCTGAAATTTTTCTTTTTTAATGTAGGCATTTAGAGCTAGAAAGTCCCTCTAAATGCTGCAGTCCTGCATCCTGTAGGTTTGGGTACGTTGTGCTTTTATCTCCACTCATCTCCAAACACCGTCGAGTTCCTGTTGTGATGTCTTCCGTGAGCCGCGGGCTATTTAGGAGCACGTTTTTTGCACCCACATACCCGTGAACTTCCCGAACTTCCTTCCTACTGATTTCTGGTCTCGTTCCATGCTCTGTAAGACGCCCGTCCCCTCACGTGTACTGAGAATTGCTCTGGGACTTGGCACATGATCTGTCCCGGAAATAGGACGTGTGAGGTTGCATGGGTCACGGGGTTGTTCTGATCGTCTGTGTCCTCCTTGATGTCTGGATCGGTTTAGTGGGGAAAGCGCTCAACTGCCCTCAGCCCCCTGGTTCAGGCGAGGCAAGTAAGGCTGTGGGCTCGGAGCCCGGCTCTGTAAAGGAGCTGGAAGCTGTGTCTAAATCCCAGCCCCACCGTGCACCGTACTCTGCTTCGGACTCAGCGTGCCCACCTGCCGCGTGGGGAGGCTGGTGCCGTCTGCCGGTCAGTGTGGTGCGAAGGCAGCCCCTGTCTGGCCGGGAGGGGTCTTGGGAAGCAGAGGCAGGCTGCCCGGCATGCTGGGAGGGGCTGGCCAGGATCCCCAGGCCTGGGAATCGTGGAAGTGGTCAGCAGCGTGTCTGTGACATGCCCTGCCTGGGCTCCCCACGGTGCGCCTCGGCTGCTCGACCTTGAGCAGGGGGCCTAGCCTGTCTGAGCTCAGTTTCCCCACCTGCCATGACCCCGGCTGGAGGCACGGAAGACGCAGGCACACAGCGGGGGCCTTTGAGCCCTGCAGATGTCCCATGTCACGCAATGCACGATGGTGACGTGCTCCTCCTGTACCCCCACCCAGGCCAGCTGCGAGCCGTCCAGCAACTGTGTCACTTCTACAGCAAAGTCTTGCCCAGTAAGGCCCAGTGCGTCGTCTACCACGAGTTTCAGCTCTCGCTGGCCAGCAGGGTGGCCGACAAGGCGCTGGAGGGCCAGCTCCTGGAGACCCTCAGCCAGCTCTACCTGTCGCTGGGCACTGAGCGGTAAGGACACCGGCCCCGATCGGGGGGCAACCTCTCCTTAGGGGCTGTTTCATTCCTGGTGTCAGACAGGCTCTGAGTCGGCGGGCCTGGGGGTCGTCCCGACCAGGGCTCGTGGGTCCCAGGACAGCTGTCCTCCGCCCATACACCTCCCGACCTCCCGGTGGAGGTAGCGTGTGCGTTTCTGGGCCATTCTTCCTGTCCTGGTGGCTTTAGTAAGCTGACCTCTGCCTGCCCTGAGTCTCCTCTGGCCAGTCCAGCTCTGGGCCGGGCAACCTGTCCCCAACTGTCCCCTCGGATGACACACACAGTGGCCACATGGACCTGAAGGATTCTCATCCACGGAGAGGTAGCTGGCTGTCCTGCCTGCTTCCTGTGGGCAGAGTTTCAGGGTCACCTGTCCGGGGTGATGCCCACACTGAGCATCCTGATCAGAGGGGGTAACGGACGGCCCGGGAAGATCACTGATCACCTCCCCATCCAGCTGGGGACTCACTGAGAGGCAGGGAAGGAGCCATGGGCCCATCTTGGCCTCTACCCCACACCCTTGGGCCTCAGTTTCACAGCAGGACTAATGGACAGTGACCTTGATCGATGCTTCTCAAAGCAGGGTCCCTGGATCAGCGGCATCCACATCACCTGGGAGCCTCCTGGGAATGCACAGTCCCAGGCCCCACCCCAGACCTGCTGAGTCCGAAGCTCTGGGAGCAGGGCCCTACAATCCTACCTGAGTTTGGGAACCACTGGCCTACATTATCTGTAAATCTCTGCCCAGCGCTGATGTTCCAGGCTGTGGCTGGAGGGGTCGGGCAGGCCCGTGTCTGGGGAGTCGGGGTGGGGTGCAGAGAGGGTGGTCTGCTCCTCCTCCCCGTTCCCTCCAGAGAGTGTCTTTTACTGTTGCCGGATGCACAGAAGTCACCCGACAGGCACTGGGAAGAGCCTGGCGTGCCTGCTTGCAGGCCGCCGGCCTGGGGACGCCCGCTCTGACCGGCCCGCTCGAATTCCAGGGCCTACAAGTCCGCGCTGGACTACACCAAGCGCAGTCTGGGGATCTTCATCGACCTCCAGAAGAAGGAGAAGGAGGCGCATGCCTGGCTGCAGGCAGGGAAGATCTACTACATCCTCCAGCAGAACGAGCTGGTGGATCTCTACATCCAGGTGCAAGGGCGTGGGGCACGTGCATGCACACTCCGCTCCCCGGCTCGCTCGCTCCCTCATCCCCAACCCGCTGCGGGCACCTGCTGCTTGCCAGCCGCCCCTGCCACCCCCACCCTGGACGCCCCGCCCCCCAGCATCTTCCACAACAATCCCAGCCCCCGGGGCCCAGACGCCTGTGCCCCTCACCGCGCCCACCGCTGTGTTGGTACACAGCAAGTGCTCAATAAACGTGCAGATGATGTGTTCACTCGACTGACACACAGAAGAACTTGCTTCGGCAGCATATGGCCTGTCCCCTTAAAAAATGCATTCATCACGGGAGCTCCATTTCCAGCTGAGTTCCCAAACGTGACATGATTTTGAGTAAATTGAGAGACTCATGAGGCTCATGAGTGTTTCCATTTTTGAGCACCTGGTGTGTACTTCCCTGGGCCAGGGGCTGAGGATCCCAGAGCGGGAGCGGATGGCTGCGGGGGGGCGGGGAGGGCAGTTCTGACAGTTCTGACTCGGGGCCGCCTTGGGGCTGCGGACAGGGATGTGGTGGTGAAGGCCAGAGGTGCATGGGAGTGTGGCGGGTTCTGGATTGCCCGCGGGGCCAGCCCACTCCTGTCCACTCCTGGTGCTTGTTGAGCACCTGTTACGTGCCAGGCACCTTGCTGGGCCCTGGATGCATTGGAGAACCAACAGCCTTAGCATCTGGTGGGAGAGACGGGCAGGTGTTGCCAAGGGCCACGGAGGAAAATAAATGGTAGAGGGGAAGCCAGAGGAGAGAACGCCAGGGTCCGGGAGCGGCCAGCAGGACTCAGAGCCCCCTCCGAGCTCCGTCCCAGAGTCCTCAGCAGCCCACACCTGCCGACTCCCGGGGCCCCAGCTGGATGGGGCTCCCCCTGCTATGTAGTGGGAGCTGATGTCCCCAGCTGCACAGGGGCTGGAAACAGGCCAGTCCCTGCTGAGGGACGGAGGTGTGGGAGAGGAAAGAGACACCCAGCGCACGTGTCGTGCATCCTCAGGGCCGCCTCAAGGGCCTGGGGGCGGCTGGGGAGGCTGTGAGCTCCCTCCAGAGCACTGTGGGTCTCATGAGAGTTCCTGCATGCCCACAGGTGGCACAGAATGCGGCCCTGTACACGGGGGACCCCAACCTGGGGCTGGAGCTGTTTGAGGCGGCTGGGGACATCTTCTTCAATGGGACCTGGGAGCGAGAGAAAGCAGTGTCCTTCTACCGGGTGAGCTGGGTGACGAGGGTGGGCCTCGAGGGCCGAGGCACAGGAGTGGGCTGGCAGAGGCCTCCCACCTGGACTGGAGGGCTGCCCCATGCACTCGCTTCGTTTCTGGGTGGTTTCACCTGGGGTGATCTGGACCCCCACCCCCAACCTGGGAGGGAAGGAGAAAGGAGGGACTGTTTGAGGGACAGAGGCAGCTTCAGGCTTACAGGTCCTCAAACAGCTGGGAGGCGAGTCCTGCTCCGTCTTGCAGATGAGGAAGCTGAGGCTCAGAGAGACAGGACAGCACGTCAGTGGGGGGATCGGCACCGGGGCCCAGGGCTGTAGGAGCCTCCCAAGGAGGCCGGCTTCTCCCTGCCCACCCGGCTCACGGCGTGCAGCTCAGCCCTGGGGTACAGAGAGACATGCATTTTTAGAGCGCGGAGGGGCGTTGGACCCTCCTGGTCAGGCTCTCATCGCCCGGGGGGTGGGGGCGGTCTGAGGTCACTGAGATGGGCTGCAGGTCACGCCCCAGCTTGCTCAAGGTCCAGTGGCCCTGGGACTGTCAGGGCCTCTCCAGGCTGACCTTGCCCTTGGGGGCCAGAGCTGAATACAGATGCAGGGATGGAGGGGTGGAAGCTCCCTGCGTGTGTTCAGGGCCCTGGAGCGGTCCTGGGCCGGGCCGGCCGCTGTGGGCAAGGCCTGACAACTGCCTGTGCGGCAGGATCGGGCGCTGCCACTGGCCGTGACCACAGGGAACCAGGAGGTGGAGCTGCGGTTGTGCAACAAGCTGGTGGCGCTGCTGGCCGAGCTGGAGTCGCCCCGCGAGGGCCTGGAGTTCGCCCACGTGGCCCTGGCGCTGAGCATCACCCGGGGTGAGCCCCGCACACCGGCCCCCGCGGGGCCTCCGCCTCCGGAACCTGCAGGGTGGGCACAGGAGGCCGAAGCCCAGGACGCCTGCGGGGCTGCTCGGGGCTGCAGCTGCCCTCTCTCCTGCCGGGGGGCTGGGCTGAGCGGCCCCAAATCTGCCCGGGGGACGGGTCGGGGCCTCTCAGGAAGTGTCCCACGCGCTGCGTGTCCGCCCTGTGGCTTCCTCCGCCTCTCTCCCGGCTGACCGGGAGGCCGGCTGGTGGCCCTGCATTGTGGACACCCAGGCTTCTCTCCCGTCCCTGCACACATGCCATGCCTTACTGGTGTCCATCACGGCACTCTGCCGGCCCCACTGTTCCTGGCTGGCCACACCCCGGTCCCCTCAATGCCGGGCACCCTCTGTCCCAGCACCCCAGAGAGAGACACGCAGTGGGTGTGCAGTAGGGTGTGTGTGCAGGCCCCACGGGGAACGGGCAGGGACTTGGAGACAGGTGGGGGGAGGGTGGGGGGAGGGGGCTCCTGCTAATGCAGCAGGGAGGGGCCCTGTCGTGTCTGCAGGTTGGCTGGAGTCCCAGTGCTTGGCGATGCACAGACTGCCTGACTCTGGGGCCTGCTGTCACCCCCTCCAGGCAGCCGTGTGCAGACACAGAGCTGGGATGTCCACCTTCCTGACGTGGACAGGGCGCAGGCAATACTGGGCCCGCTGTGTAGACGGGAAGACTGAGTCTTGGGACGGGAAGTGACTGGCTGGAGCTTTGAGACAGTGTGGGCGTGGGGGCCGGAGCTGGTCTGTGCCCCCCACCCCTGCAGCTGTGACCTCACGTGCGCCCCCTCCCCTGCGTCCCTAGGGGACCGGCTGAACGAGCGAGTGGCCTACCACCGGCTGGCGGCCCTGCACCAGCGGCTGGGCCACGGCGAGCTGGCGGAGCACTTCTACCTCAAGGCTCTGTCGCTCTGCAGCTCGCCCCTACAGTTCGATGAGGAGACCCTGTACTATGTGAAAGTGTATCTGGTGCTCGGCGACATCATCTTCTACGATCTGAAGGTGGGTGGGGCGGGGGGCAGGGCTCGGGGCACTTGGGTCCCTCTTGGCGTGGGGTTGCACGCAGACCCCCAGGTCGGGGTCCCGCCCTCCTCCAGCGTTGGCCCCGGTGTCTGCCCCGCGGAGCTCCAGGCCAGGCCGTGAGGAGCAGGCGTGGTCAGCAGACACCGTCCCAGGCCCTGGAGCCGGGGTCTCTCCCCCATCCGCTCCCAGCCCCGCAGTGGACACAGACCAGAGCCTGGAGAGGTCTCCCTCGCTCCCCTACGCCCACCGATGCCCATCGCCCCACCCTAGGGATAGCATTGCACTGCACCGCGGCCCTGCGCCGTGTCGGCTGAAGGGGGTGCGCCCCAGCCCAGGGCTGACTTCTCCCCCTCCACCTCCCCCCTGAATGCCATCTAGGAGCAGGGGGGGCACCGGAAGATCCCCACCCAGTTGGTGGCCCCCAACTCCCTGCCTGGGGCAGCTTTGGCTATGCACTAGTGACACCTGGTGGTCAGAGATGGTCACTGCGGCCTCCTGCTATGTCAGTCCCACAGTTCTGGGGGAGCTTGTGGGCAGTGGTGGGTACTGCAGCTTAGCCTCACTGCATTCCAGTCTGTGTGATCCAGGCTCTGTGTGACCCACGCTTTGTGATATCCAGGCTCTGTGATTCCAGGCTCTGTACGATCTAGACTCTGTGTGATTCAGGCCATGTGCCATCCAGTCTGTGTGATCCAGGCTCTGCATGACCCAGGCTCTGTGATATCCAGACTCTGTGTGATCCAAGCTCTGTGTTATCTAGGCTCTGTGCCATCCAATCTCCTTGTGATCCAGGCTTTGTGTGATCCAAGCTCTGCACGACCTAGGTTCTCTGTGATCCAGGCTCTGTGCCATCCAGGCTCTGTGTGATCTAGACTCTGTCTAGATCATGTGCCATGTGCCATCCAGGCTCTTATGATCCTAGCTCTGTGCCCTCCAGGCTCTTTGTGATCCAGGCTCTGTGTGACCTAGGCTTTTGATATCCAGGCTCTGTGATTCCAGGCTCTGTGCGATCTAGGCTCTGTGTGATCCAGGCCATGTGCCATCCAGTCTGTGTGATCCAGGCTCTGCATGACCCAGGCTCTGTGATATCCAGACTCTGTGTGATCCAAGCTCTGTGTGATTTAGGCTCTGTGCCATCCAATCTCCTTGTGATCCAGGCTCTGTGTGATCCAAGCTCTGCACGACCTAAGTTCTATGTGAACCAGGCTCTGTGCCTTCCAGGCTCTGTGTGATCTAGACTCTGTCTAGATCATGTGCCATGTGCCATCCAGGCTCTTATGATCCTAGCTCTGTGCCCTCCAGGCTCTTTGTGATCCAGGCTCTGTGTGACCCAGGCTTTTGATATCCAGGCTCTGTGATTCCAGACTCTGTGCGATCTAGGCTCTGTGTGATCCAGGCCATGTGCCATCCAGAGTCTGTGTGATCTAGGCTATGTGTGACCCAGGCTCTGTGATATCCAGGCTCTGTGCAATCTAGACTCTGTGTGATCCAGGCTCTGTGACAACCAGGTTCTGTGTGATCCAAGCTCTGTGTGACCCAGGCTCTGTGATATCTAGGCTCTGTGCAATCTAGTATCTGTGTGATCCAGGCTCTGTGACAACCAGGTTCTGTGTGATTCAAGCTCTGTGTGATCCAGGATCTGTAACCCAGGCTGTATGTGACCCAGCCTCTGTGTGATCCCAGCTCTGTGGTTGGCTCTTCACATGCTTTATAGTTCTAGAAGAGAGGTGCCCCCACAGGACAGGGCAGAGACTGAGGCCGGGCATGGTCCATTAATCAGAGTAGGGATTGGGAGCCGCATGGTGGGGATCCAGTGCCCGGGACCTCGGAACCCACATCGTCTGACCCAGTGACCGTGCTCCATGTCTGTGCCTGCTGTCCCAGGCTAGGCTCTGGGCTGGGCCCTCCCCCGTGCAGGGGCCGTGGAGGCTGGGGTCGGGCAGGCCTTTGGCCCACCTCAGCTGCGCTCCTTATACCCAGAGCCATCGGGCGTCTGTGACATAATGCTCCTGACCCCTCGGTCATCTGAGGATGGGGCCACATAGAGCTTAGAACCCCAGGGTCTATGAGATTGGTGACAAGCAGCTCTGCACAAGAAGGGGAAACAGGCTGGAGAGGTGAACACACTTGTCCAAGACAAGAGTCAGGGAGCCGGGCCCAGGGTGCCTGACCTGATGCCCAGGCTCTGGGGACAGGACCTTATCTCTCCACGGTCTCATGGTGCAGGAAGGAAAGGTCCCTGGGCCCGGGAGGCTGGGGTCAAGGGGCCTCCCTGCCATGACCGCCGTCAGCACCACGTCTGTCTTCACCACGAGGAGATCTTGGAATTCCATCAGGGGCCGCGGGCCTACTTCGTCCCCTCCGGCACACGCCCAGGAGGCAGAGAGGCTCCCTGTGGCCCCGTACAGGACAGGCATGCACACACACGCAGATGCACAGCCCCCCCAAGCGAGCACCCGCTGTGGCCAGTTCCTTACTTGGGATGTCCCCTCCTCCAGGAAGCCCTCCCATTCCGAGCGGCACAGGGAAGGGCAGGGTCTGAGTTTAGCACTCCCTCAGGAGGGGCTGGGGGTGGGCAGGTCGGGGAGGCTGGGCACGGGCAAGCCCCCGCCCGCACCCAGGCGCATTAGCGCTGAGTCTGGCAAACGCCATCTCCCCTTCAGGACCCCTTCGACGCGGCCGGGTACTACCAGCTGGCGCTGGCCGCGGCGGTGGACCTGGGCAACAAGAAGGCCCAGATGAAGATCTACACGCGCCTGGCCACCATCTACCACAACTTCCTCCTGGACCGCGAGAAGTCCCTCTTCTTCTACCAGAAGGCCAGGACCTTTGCCACCGAGCTCAACATCCGCAGGGTCAACCTGGCCCCGGAGCGGTGCTGGGGACGGGCGCCCTGGCTGGCCCCCAGCGCCCCGCCCTGAGGACCGCTGTCCCCACCTCTCCTAGTGTCTCTGCGAGGCTCATTTTCTGGGAAACGGAGGCACGGAGGTGGGGGTCCCATAGCAATACGTGATTTTGCAGGAGTCTGCTCGAACCTGCAAGGCCCCGTCCCCCACTCTGCCTCCAGGGGAGTGCCCAGGGCCCAGGCCCTGTCCCCGGGCACCACCCTGCGGCTGCACCTCGTCCGCGGCGATGAGCTGGAAGGACTGGCCCCCCTGCCGGCCCCCCACACCCAGTTCCCCCACGTCAGAGTGAAGGTGGCTGTGGGGTTCCCTGGGCATCTTCTTTCTCCCTTGCCCATGCCCTCGCTGTGTGTCTGGCTCTGGCCCTGCCTGTAGCCCTCAAACTGCCCTCACGGGGCCTGCACGGTTGGGGCTGGTACCGTCTTCATTTCCAGTGGAGGAGATGGAGGCGCAGAGAGGGTAGGTGCCCGGCCCACCATCACACAGCAGGTAGGTGGGGCCGAGTGTACCACCTGCCCGCCTGCCCCAAGGGATGCATCTGCCATAGGACCCAAGGGCGGGTCCGAGAACAGGGTGTTAGCACGTCAGTGTCCCGAAGGCAACAGACAGGGCAAGGGGAAGGTGGCCCCAGTGCTCCCCGACCTGATTGTCCTCTGGCCCAGCCTCACCGGGCCTGTGTGCGGAGCCTGCTGCTGAGCGTGTTTAAAGGCGCATTGGGGCCGCCAAGCGCCGGGGACCCTCAATTTACCGGCAGGGACACTGAGGCCCAGCGAGGCCGTGGGTCTCCTGGCTGGCTCTCACCCACACGGCATTTTTCAATCTCCTCTTTTTCTTTAATTTATTTTGTTAAATACGGTGAAATCCACATAAAATTAACCATTTAAAGTGGACCATTCAGTGGCATTTTGTGTATTTACGGTGATGTGTAAGCACCGCCTCCACTTAGTTGGAAAACATCTTCATCTCGTGGACCCCTGTGCCCCGAAAACATCACTTCTCGTTTCACCTTCTCTGAGACCCTCCTTTAGCAGAAGGGGAAACCGAGGCCGGCAGAGGGACTGGCCGGTGGGCAGAGCTCTGGGTTTGGCTCCACGCCCAGGAGAGGCGGCAGAGCCCGGAAGGCCCCGAGGAAGGGAGGCAGGGGGTCTCCACCATCCTTACTGTCCCTGGGGTCCAGGGGAGCCCCCAGCCCCTGCCCGGCTCAGAGGTGGCCTGCAGGCCCCGTCCTGGCCGCTCCCACCAGGGGGCAGCAGAGAGACAGCCGAACCTTCCAACCTTGACCCCAAACTGCCTTCTCGGGGCTGGGCGTGGAAAGTGGGAGGAGGCCGCAACGAAATTGAAAACAGGATGACCTGATGACCCACACTGGTGTGGCAGGCCACGGCCGGCACAGTGACCCCAGCCCAGATCTCCGAGGTCACTGACCGCTGGGCAGCGCCTGGGCCTGGACCTGCGGCTGGGTCACTCAGGGGCCCAGCACCTGCCTGGGAATCTGTGCCTTCGCTGACCTTCCTCGCCCTGTCGCCCCCACCCCTCCCCTCCCACCCAGGGTCCCAGCCCCCCACCCCACCCGTCGGGCCCCCAGGTCTCCAGGGCAGCAGCTTCGGTCGTCCAACCCCTGGGTTCCCATCCCAGTCCCCTACTTGGAGGCTGGGGATTTGGCGTGAGTTCATTTCTCTGAGCCCCAGTTTGGTCAAAGCTAAAATGAGGCTGATGATCCCGGTGTGGGGAGTCAAGTGAGGATTCACGAAGCAGAGGGTTCGGCGCCAGATCCAGGGCTGAGAGTCTCCTGTTTGCTTTCGACGATACTTAACACCGCAGGAAGAGCGCCAACAACCACAGGCTACGGAACTCTGAACCGAAGGCTGAGTCATCTGGTCAAGTCTCTCAGCTTCTCAGACCCTCCTCTCTCCTTCATCTGTAACCAGAAGCAAACCCTGCCGCAGGGTCCTGAGGAGGAGGAGCGAAAACGCACCAGGCACAGAGGGGCTCGCAGCATCGGGCGGCCGGGCCCTCCGTTTCGGCCGAGGCAAGGAGGGGGTGGGCCGAGCCCCAGATGGCAGCATGAGTGCGGGATGGGCCTGTGTCCGGTACCTGTGCCCCGAATGGGTGCCCAGCCCAGGAGCCCCGCTGCCCCCGCCGTAGCGGAAGGCGTCCCCGCTGGGTCTGTCGGGAAACCCGGCCACGCAGGTTCACGGGGCCCCTCCTGTGCACAGGCCCCGTTAACTACTACAGACCCTGCTCAGGGCTGAAACGTGTGGGCATGAGGGGGAAGAAATGCCCCTCCAGCATGAGCCCCCGGGCTGGGGATAGAGTCACTCCTTGCCAGGTGTCCCACCCACCTCCCCAAACAGAGAAGGAAAGCGACCTGCCCAGGGTCACACAGCCCCACTTCCTAACTGCAAGGTGCTGGAGCTCCTCCCCAGCATGGCTTGTCTCCAGCCTCCTTGCAGACCACATCTCTCCCCTCACCGGCTTCCTCCGAGTGACGAATGTCCACGCAAGTCCCGGTTGGCCTCCAGCTTTGGTTGAGGAAACGCTGAGCGAGGGATGGTGACCGCCCCAAGGACGCACAGCGTCTGTCCTCATCACCGCATGGAATGGCAGACAGCAGCCCCATGGCCTCCGAACAAGGGGTGGGCAGGGGCGGCAGGGGGTGGGTGTGCCTGGCGCGAAGCTGGACTCTCTCCCGGGCCGGCCTCTCGGCCCACCTCAGCGAGAGCTCGACGCCCTTCGGCAGAGGGCCTCCCTCCCTCGTGAAGGGAAAGGCCTGTCTGTGGGGGCCAAGAAGGTGCCCCTCGGACTCCGGTCTGCCTCATCCATCCTGTGCTTTGGGGGAGTCGGCCTGTGCTTCTGGGGCCCCCAGGGCCTGGCCTGGGCAAGGGGCTGCCGGCCACAGGCTGGGGTCTGTGCGAGTCCAGGCTCTGCCTCTCTCTGTCCCTGTGTGACCTGGAGCACCCCGCAAAGACCCCCTTCCCATGCCACCGCGGCTTGTCCCCCGTGCGGTCGGTGTCCTGGTGTGTGGAGGGCGTCAGGAGGTGTCCCGCGCCAGGCTGTTGGGGAGACTCACCACAGCACATCAAACACTAGCGTTTTAACAAACCGGGGTTCATGACGGTCACCAGGTTGACATGAAATTGCGAAAGAAGACGGACACCTGTGCACCTGCCCACCTGGCCACGCCCTCCTGCTCCACTAGTTGCGTGAGGCCTTGCACCAGGCAGTGAGGGAGGAGGGAGAGACGGAAGGCCGGGCGTCGGGAGCCCAGGCTCTCAGCCAGCCTCCCGCATAGCTGCGGGTGTCCCTTCCCCGGGCAGAGGGCAGTCTCCTGGCAGGGCCCACGTCGCTGGGCACGGAGCTCTGCAGAGCCTCGCTCCCTCCCCGGGGCAGCCGTCTCTAACTGTAGGCACGGCCCTCGTCCGTCCTCTGCTGGGCTCGGCCGGCCCTCACCTCCAGCCAGAACCAAAAGCATTTCACAACCTCTGCGGCTTTGGGTGGCGTCCGCACAGCATCCCGGGAAGAGGGAACGTGGGGCTAGGGGCGTCTCCGGGAAACAGGGGCGTTTCTTCCAGAACACACAGGGTGGGCTCCGTGTCTGTGACGGCTCGGGCCTGCCTGTCTGCAGGGTGGGGGGACCTCTGGGGACCTATCAGTTTGGGAAGGTGGTAAGGCTAGGGGAGGACAGTGCTGGGTTTCCAGAGAAATCCAAGGGAGGGATATGCAGCTGCGTCAGGCTCGGGAAAGGGCCCCACCCCTGGGGGAGGAAGGCAGGGGTGGCAGATCCCTTACCAGGACGGGCCAGGTCGGGAGCAGGCCCCTCTCTTCACATTCTACCCTGCCCCTGCCCCGTGGGGCAGCTCCCACGTGCATCCTCTCCGAGCCGGCTCCTACCCGCGCTCGAGGCCCGCGGACCAGCAAGGAGGACCCCACAGGGTATGATCACGACGGGCGTACCCCAGGCTTCTCTGTCCAGCACGGCAGACACACCCGTTCCCGACCCGGCCTGGATCTTGGAGCCGAGTTCGAGGTTGGACGGGCCCTGACCGAAGGGACATCTGCTTTCCAGGACACGGCCCAGAGGGTCATCTCCCACCTCTGCCTGGTCCTGGGGCACAGCCCTCCCTGTGCAGGAAGGGACCTGCTGGGAGGCCAGACTGCTGTGAGCTCAGCGGCTCACCTACCTGCACCCCGATCTCAGCTAACACCGTGGGGCAGACCAAAGAGAACCCCAGGGCCCACTGAGTAGATGCAGGGAGGGCATTCCGCGCCCTCCGACCCCACCCGGGATAAATACCCTCAGCAAGTGAGGAACAGACCCACCTCAGTGGGCGAGGGCTTTCTGCCCACTGTGGAGCCGGAGCAGGTTCCCAGTGAGTCCGAGGAGGGGGCCAGGTGGTGCCCCCCACTTCCCATCCACGTGATTCTGAAGGTCCCAGAAAACCAGCAAACCAAGGAAAAGAGACAGGTTCAAAGGGCTGATAAAGAAGAAAGGAGTGGACATTATCCACAGAGGATACGATCGCTTGACCAGAAAACCCCAGTCTCCGCCAGCCTCTGGGATGACCAGGAGGGTTTCCCAGGGAACCAAGTAGGCTCTGATCCTACAGACCCGCAGCACTGAGCTGGGAAATGCAGTTTTAAAAACCAAACAGTTAAGAGTATCAAGAATGTATACAAATATCTGGGAATAAGCCTGGCCCAGTATTTCCTGTGTTCCTAAGCGGGAAAAGTCAGTATGGTAAAGATGTCCGGAGCTTCGTGGCGACCGCAAAATAAAAAATCCCACAGGGTTGATGTAAACCTTCGCGAACGGACTCCGGAACGAAAGGATGAATAAATGTCAGGATAGCTCACCTCAGCTCCCCTGGAGAAGAGGCCACATTTCAGGAGGGGGCCCTTTCCCTATTAGATCTGATGGTTTATTATAAAATTGCTTCATGACTACAGGGCACTGTCAGGATGGGGCAAATAAATAAATATGAAAAAACGGAAATTCCTAGAATTGAGTTCGCAGACAGGTGGACATGACACCCAGTGTGCCGACCCGTGGCCTGGCAGCTCGGGGTCTGCTTGGGCGCCCCTGCCGGTCCGCGTGAGGCGTGGGAACCCCACCACTCGGCTCCCCAAACCCCCACGCCTGTCGGATTGAGAGCCAAAGCTGTGGAGGGCAGGAATGGTGTGACTTCTGGGAAAAGGAGCATCTTTTCACGAGGCAGAGCGGGGACGGACGCCTCCCACGAGACAAGCAGCGCAAGAGGGAAAGGTTGCTGAGCTGGACCGCAATCCAGTTATCCACCATCCTGCACGGAAGACGGCCCGGGCACGGTGGAGAGACAAGCCCGGGCTCAGAGGGGACGTCTGCGTGTGTCCCGGGCGGGCGTCGCTCTGTGTGCGTGTGCAGTACACGTCATACACGCCGTACGTACATGCGTGTGCCTAGGATGTACCCCCACACGTGCACACGCACGGTTGGTGAATTATTTAAATAAAGGGACAAGAACGGCAGAAGACCAGCTATGGAAGTGGAAAGGAAAACGGCCAACGCGCCCGCAGAGCAGCCCGGCCGCACTGGCCGTTAGGATGACGCGGGTCCAGCCTTGGCGAGATGCCAGCTCAGCCCCGCGCACAGGACACGGACTCGGGAGCTCCCGGGCGCTGCTGGCCAGAGCTGACCCCACTTTAGAGAGCAGTCACCCAGCATTATCTCGCATCATCTAGAAAACCCAGAAGTGAATTCCCCTTCCTGTGTGCAGGCGTCCACGTGTGCACTCCTCCGTCCACAGCGAGCCTCATGCACGAGCCCCAGAGATGTGCAGGATGGCACGGAAGCCCCCTTTGGGATGGCAAGCGTGGCAGAAGGTGGATGGACACGGTTCTTCCCTGGAGAGGTGGC